GCTCGTTTGTTTATAAAATGCTGAAAATTAATTGTGAACTTTTGTGTTGTATCTTTCCATTGCTTGTCACCAGTGTGTCATCTGTTTTCATTTCCTCTACACCAGGTGCTTGCTCAATTTCATTATCATTGCTTTGATTGAATTGTACCTCTGTTGTAGGCAGGACTTGTGTGCATAATTAAAAATATTAGGTGGAATAACTTGGTTGTGGTTTCATTTGTTAAACTCTATAGGTATATTTTTTTTTTCATTACAGTTCTACAATAGGCCTGTGTTTCACCCTGTCCCCTGAAAAAGGTCACACTTCCTGGTATTTTCGCATAAAAGCATTACAGTGATTATATCCCAGCATGCAACAGGAGGTGACCTTTAGGAGTCATACTAAAGGCCTATCCATTATTATAATAATTATTAAATCTTATCTGACAGAATGCCACTTATGTTTTTAAAAATACAAAAATTCATGAAAGGTAATAAATTTCTTTGTAAATTGCTTATTTAATCTTTAGGTGCCATGTTCTACCAGATAAAAGACACTGTGAATCAGATGAGATTGAGAAGTTTTGGACATCTTTTCGAAGAAGGTGTAGATCCCGATGAAGGTACAGTTATATCTCTCTTTCTTGCCATTTAATTAATCCCATTCTGTGAATACTTTATTTTTGTTCACCTATGTACACATACTTTTGATTGATTGATTTTATTTAAAGTTAGTACAAATTCATAATAGTTTCTAGCTGGAGTTCTGTGGCACTTGGTTTCACGGTAGTTCGATTGTTTGTGTTATGTATTATGACATTGCATTTAAGATGATGACCATAAAACCAAAGTTACTTGTTTTCCATTAATGATAGTGATAACTTGTTGTCTAATTGTGTCCAAAGTAGATGAAAAAACTTTATCAATGAAATAGTAAAGTGAAATCAAGAACAGAACTGCAGATGAATTGTAAAATAATTTTTGAAAATGCCATCATTTTGTGTATATTTTTTGTAGCATCATGGTGGTCTCGATTGGAGGTAAAAAGTGATAACCCTATTAAGTTGCTGAGTATGGCTCAGTCCAATGTCAAGAATATCCGCTTCCAGGGTGTCAATAGTTTGGCAAAGCAGACAAGCTGGCAAGGTGAGATGATGATGCATGTGGTGTTCCTAGAACTGTGCATGCAGTTTCACGCATTCGTGAGCATCCCAGTGCTTTATAACTCTATCCTTCCTGTTGCATTGTACTTTTCCATTGACTTAACCAAATAAAGGTTAACCCAGTAGCTTAATTTTCACAATTGCAGACTCTGAATATCGTAAGGTAGCCCAGGCCTGTGATGATAGAACCAGAGTTGCACTTGCACGCACCAAAGGTGCCGACAGCCGTTTTTTCTTGCCACCACCAAAGTACCATGACGAAACTACTGAGGTAAGTACATGGTATTCGTAATGAACTTGTTGACTTCTTTGAATGTATACAATTTAACTTGTCATGTTTGTTATTGCACGCCAATACAACCATGCATATTCCACAAGGAATAATCTTTGCTAGAACAAACACAGTTGTCGTAATTTCACAGGAATCCATAGAGGCGTCATTTCGTGAGCTTTTATCAGCACTACCAATGACAGGACTAGACAAGTGTGCACAGTATTTTACTTCCGTTGCTATGAAGGAAGATAAGACGGCCATGGCTGATGTTAGGGTAAGTGCATTCTGGTGTACTGTGTCTTAGCATGTCGCTAGCATGTCATTATCTGTTACCTATTCTAACAGCTTATTCTCATAGTCAGATGAATTTTAAGACAAGGCAAATCAGGCAGAAATCATAAGTTCTGATTATATAGTTTTCTGTAGCATCGATAAATTGAATTCCTGATTCCATGACTTGATTTATTAATCATTGTGATAGACTTGTTGTCTTAATCCAAAGTAAATTTTTGACACCATTCACAAATTTTAAACCTGCATATTTATTTTTTCAAATTTGTCTAAATTATGTCTATTTGGTGCAAAATTATCACAACAAAATATAAAAAAAATGCATAAAAATGGCAAAATGTTGGACAAAAAATTTGCCCAGAAAAATTACAGTGCTAAAGGGTCAATCAAGATGCAATCTTAACATAACTTGAATTATTGATCTTTCAGGGTGGTTTATGGTGTTTTGGAGGCAATGGATTACCATTTGCAACAACTCTAAGTAACATACCAGATCAAAAAGCAGAGCTGTTCTACCTTCAAGCACTACTGCATCACTCCGAGGTAAATAATACGGTTATTCAGCTTTTCTGAATGATTGTACGATGTCAACTTTTCATTGCTTTTCTTCTCCAAAATTGTCATTCAGAATGCTGTCATGATTTTAGTTACTGTTTCAGAGAAAGTCTAAAATCGGGAACTATTAATTGGGGTTCCCTCTGTCCATTCATCCATGCATGCATCTGAAGCCATTCTTCAGACATGCTTTGACCGATCACACCCAGACGATGTATGATAACTTACATTTACACATCAATTTTCATTATCATTTGATAAAGTACCGTACTTATCCGGGTAAGAGCCCATGCCTGGACAAACTCCCACCCCCCACTTTTGACACAAAGAAGTTGAGGTCATATCCGGGCACATGCCCATGGGGTCTATTTCTACACAAAACAAAAAACTAATTTCTATTCGTTGACTGTAGTTGTATTAACAGTTGACTTTCTTGAAGTCTGTCATGATACTTATAAAAATTGTTAATTGCGTAAAACAAGGGGTGAACGCAAAATAGCTGTGACAGCTTTCTGCCTTCAGGGCAGCGCGTTCACCGCTGATTTTTTTCAGAATCATAACAGTCAGCAAGTCTATAAAAATAAATATTAAAGCAGAAACGGTAGTTCTCTTTTTAGTCCCCGTTCGGACGTAGTCCGAAAACAGGGGACTTATGTTTTGCCCTGTGTGCGTCCGTCCGTCCGTGATCACCTGTATCTCGAACATGCATGGACCGATTAAGTTCAAACTTCACTCATACATCACACATTATATGGGACATATGCACGTGTATTTTTAGCTCCGCTGTCGACTTTGTCGAGCGGAGCTTATCATATGAGTGATTGTCCGTCGTCTCCGTCGTCGTCGTCCGTCGTCCGTGTCAATGTTTTACTTTTTCGACTTCTTCTTGAAAACTACAAGCCTGAATGCTTTGATACTTGGTGTATATGTACCTTGGGTAGACCTCTCTCAGATTGTTCATTTCATGATGATATCTTCAATTCTCTAATTTTGGTGAATATTTTTGTCATTTTTAGTAAAAAGTGATATTTTCGACTTCTTGTTGAAAACCGCAAGTGCAATTGCTTTGATATTACATAATATAGGTACTACATGTGGACCTC